TATTCTCTTGAAAATAATTACTTTGCTTCTCTTCTGTTTTCAAAATTCCATCTGTAGTTAACACATCTTGTATTAACATCCTCCTCAAGTTTGATGATTCTCTGGAAAAAAAAATTTAAGAAACCACATCGGTTAAGTACGGAAACTTAAAGTGACTTTCCGAGTTTCCATGTTCACTTGGAAACCTGGAAAAAACACTTAAATTTTCCAAGATAATTTATCTCGGAAAGATGGAATTTCAAGATAATTTATCTCGGAAAGAAGAATTTCCGAGATAGGTTAACAAAATTGGTCCCCCTCCTGCCTAGTGGAAGAATCCTTGGGGACGGGCGCGTGGCTGTCCCTATAAAAGTAGGGGCAGTAGCGCACAGCATCAGTTGGACCACAGAGTTTACCAGTGTAATACCCAGAGTAGTCGCTGTAACCTGATATAGTACACGTGGTGTTCTACTTTGTTGTGGGTACTGAATAAACCGGCTAACTGGACCTGAGAATATTGCTTTTGTTATTCCATTTCTGCTGTCCTGTGTTATACTACTGTGGTGATTATTATTGCACAAGTTTATGGTTGTTTGTGAGGGTGTAAGGCTGTCTCTTATACACATCTAGATGTGTATAAGAGACAGATTATAATGTGTCAATTTATCCACATAATATGATAAGCTTGTTTTCTGCCGCTACGACTTGATTAAAACAAATCCAATCAAAGCTTTGTAACGAAATAATATCGACATTGAGAGTGACGAAGAAAACGATATTGATCGATGGGAGATGAGCTCCAATGAATGAATTGATACATTGCTTTGAGCTGGAATGAATCATACATATACAGGGTATTAGTATTCACAACCGTGTCTTGTAAACTGACAATTAATATTACAGCTCCTATATTTTCAACTCGTGTCATTTGCTATCGGAGATTCAACCTCTTCGTTTCCTAATATTATCGGATGAGGTAAGTGAGGGGAGATTGATGACTTAACGGGGATCAACAACAGACAAACTCTGCCTGGGGACCGCCTTTCCTGGCCCTGGGATACGATTCGACTGGCAAAAAGGTGAATACTCATGGAGATCCGCTTCACAGTTGAGTAGGCGATGATGTGTCAGGAACGACTCATAAGAATGCCTCTTAAAACGAGGCCTAGTTATTTTACATCATTATGTATATACGTCTTCGATTTTTGCATCGTTTTTGAATGTGAACTTAAGACTCAGGCTACTTGAATGGTTATAAGGAGCTACACCGTGAATACGTTTAAAATGAGTTTTGATTGTGAATACAGTTTCACGGATAGAAGGACGTGAGTTTGATGTCTAG